GCGTAGTTCCAGTCACGACCGCTAGGCGCAAATTTGGCGCTAGTGAGCCGATGACAAGTTTGACAGGTTAGTAATTCACGAGCAATATGTACCAGAAATGTCAAAATTTTGTTTTGATTCTTATTGTGATTGTTGTGTTTACAAGTGTTTTATAATTGTTTATACGGTTTTATTTGTGATTCAAACAAAATCTATAACTCTTAAATGAAGAGGATATAAAGCAGTTGTTAAAGCAGTGTATAATTTAATCACAATACATTTTGGGAGCAAGCTAGGGCTCTTTTATAAGAAAGGCAAGGCTTCTCTAACTTTTCAGAATTGTATTAAACTTTGGAGGCTCTTAAATATATATGGAAAAGCATAAATAGACTAGACTTTACATTTTTAGGAACGCCACTGAGTTAATGAACGAAATCCAATTGCCGTGCAAGATGATAAAATAAGTTAATTTAATGCAGCAGTTTTTTGAATATTCAAGATAATATCAAGAGCCATTTAGCATGACTGGATTTATCGCAAAGAATGTGCTGAAAAGTGACAAATCTTACTTGGAATGATTATTAGTTAATAAAGTAATGCACAGACACTATAATTTAAACACCATGTTTTGTGTTCACAACATTATTGCTAGTGAATAATGAATGATTATCCACTTGAAGGCAGGAATCCTGTAATTCGTTAAACTTTTTATTTTTCCTTTTTTTTAAATAAATATGTTTGTTGCAACATATTGCTATTTACTTTGATATCTATTTTAATATATGTATTATTGTTTGGTATGTTTTGTTATTGTATAACAATGTCAATATAAGACTATTGTAATGCAAAATTTAAATACAAATAAATTATTTTTAAAATTGACAATTTTCTTTTATTTCTAATTTTGGCGCTTTAATTTGAATGCATTTTGGAGCACGAGGCTGCCGAGCGACATGCGATTAAAGCGCCATCACCCAATATTGCGGTCGTGACTTTCCCTAGCTCTCTGAACGCAAATACCGCGAGAGAGAAACGTCTATATTAATATATTGTCTAGGCCCCTAAGTAGCATACGACACGAAGCTAATTTCTACGAACATGATGACGAACAATGACGAATAAGAGCCTCTAAGTAGCCATTTTAAACGCGGATTTTGTTCTGAGATAATTGGTCAATAATAAAAATTTAAGCAGTGAATAAGATCAATTTATACGTAAAAATATATGTAGTAAAATTAATACTCAACGTGAAGCAAATAGAATAAAAGATTCTTTAAAAAAACCAATAGCTACCCCAAAAAATCACCAAGTTGAGCAAAGTAATCAAGTTCAACAAACAAAAACAAAATAAAGTGATGTGGATAAGATAAAATTTAACAAATAAAATATAGGAGGAAGTATGAGTAAACAAAGTAATGATATGGATACATTAGCAGCATTACAGAGAATTAAAGATAGAACAACAACTTTATCAAAGGAAATAAAATCTAAACCTATTACAAGTATGGTAACTACCGAAACACCACATTTAAAAGCCGATCAGACTTGTAATAGAATGAATAATGATTATGAAGATCAGCATGCCGGCAAAGGTGCTAAAAAAGGCGGATGTGAAATAATGTAATATTCTAAGAGCTTATACTCTATATAGTTGCATCATTTAACGTAACATAAAAAGTATTTTTTTGAATGAAGCAGGAGAGACCTATTGCCTGTATTTTTTTCTGACAATTTGAGGCTAATATTACCTGGAAATATTACATCAATTTTATAAGTTGGTTAAATAGAGGTCAAAATATCCATCCTCGACCGGAGAAGCCCATTATAGACTTGTAACAATTAAATTCGTTTTCAGATGGAAATGCACGTTGAGTTAGTTATAGAAGGCTATCTGCCTGCAAATTTAAGACCTCAAGAACAATTGCCGTATATTACATATGAACTCTTAGATGAATTTCTATATTGTTGGTTTTTACAAAAACGATCAACAAATTATTTGTAAGCAACTTTACTTCTTTATTGATACTTTACATATCTGAATATTTTACCTCATGATTAATATAATATGTATAATGTAATCTAAGAAAATATGTAAGTGTTAATTTTCTAATAAACATCGATTTTTTTGGATATCTATGTATGTATTTGTTATTTTTGATAAACAAAACATTATTCTTCATATTTGAATTATCCGGATTTTCGATTAACCGGATCATAGATAAACAAGTATAAGTATCCGGATGCAACCCGGATAATCGAGGTTCTACAATATTTAAAAAACGCACTAAAGGTTTTGGTTGGTGTTCCTGCATAAGCTTAATATAAACTTCACACTGTTCATGGTTTATGTTTTGCCTGTATTTGTCAATTTGTAAAAGACAAATATGCTTTAAATTCTATGTATTAGATTATTAAAGTCATTATCATATTAACTAGTATATTATTTATCCAGGAATAAAGAAATGACATGTGAAAGATGCTGCACATGCTTATCTTATAGAAATGAATTAAATGATTGTCAGTGGGGTTATAAAAAAATCCCTTCGTACCTTTTAGATAGATTAAACAAAGTAACAAATTTACAGGTAGGATCGATCGATCAATCGATAATTATAATTTATATTTAGAAAAACTTATCATTACTTAATTTTTCTCAGATATCAGATACAAATGACGTTGCCAGTTCGATATGCAATTCATGTGTTCAAAAGTTAAATGATGCATACAATTTTATAAAACAGTGCGAAATATCTTCTAATTACATTCGAAATCAATTAGATACTCTAAAGATAGATGTATTAGACTCTTTGTCAAGCTTATCAGAAAATACTAGCGATATATTTATCATTGATAATGTAGAATCTGAAGAACAATGTGATATCAATTTTAATGAAGAAAAAAATTGCCCGCCATATAATTATAATAACTATAAAAAGCATATATGTGATGAAAAATTAAAGCCTGAAAAGCAAAATGTTACTAAAACAAAATATATCTGTGATACCTGTGGATGCATTTTCAAAAATAAATCTAGTTTGAATATTCATGTTCGAACACACATTACCAAAGAATCATTTATATGCCCAATATGCAATAAAGGTGGTTATTTACGGTTTGCACTTTAAATAATCCCATCAATATGTAATTGATATAAATGTTATAAAATTTATTTTAGGTTTTAATGTGAAAACAAATCTCAAAAACCATATACGGTCTCACTCAGGTGAAAGGCCATTTATTTGCGATGTTTGTGGACAGGCATTTGCAGTTATATCTTCTTTAAAGGCACATATTCGAATTCATAATCATGAAAAACCTTATGCTTGTACAATATGTTCCAAATCATTTTCACAAAAAAGTAATCTTAAAGTACATATCTTGACACACTCTGGCAGTAAACATCATAAATGTACATCATGTTCAAAAACATTTTACACAGCAAGTGCTTTGAGGCAGCATAATCGAAGCCACACTGGTGAACAGCCTTTTTCATGTGCCATTTGTTTAAAAAAATTCTCATTATCATCTAACTTGAAAACTCACATGAAAATTCATTCAGGAGATAAAAAATATCAATGCAATACATGTGATAAAAGTTTTATTAATGCAGCTGCTCTAAACTCACATATGCGCACTCATACGGGCTTAAAGTTTTTTCTTGTTCCACATGCTCAAAAAGTTTTACACACTATAATACCCTTAAAGCACATCAAGTTGTGCATACAATGAGAAAAGATTTTGAATGCAAAATCTGTATGAAAAAATTTGCTCGAAGTAGTAGTTTAAGTACACATAGGAAGAAAAAAAATGCAAATCTGGCAATTTGATTATGTAATTATAATAAAATATTATAATAAAGAGTTTTACACTTACATAAATTTGTATAACATTTTATGGAAAAATGTTTGATCTAAAGGGAACAATAAAATCATTTTGGAAAATCTTCATTAGGATTCTTGCTTTTCTTCAAATTTTCTGGGAAACGTACCTTGTTCTAATTGTGAATCCCATCTTTCAAACCACTCAACAGGGCATAAACCTTTGTAGGCCTTTTGAAAATATTGGCAGGGTTCATAATCATCACCTTTCTTTCTAATGCATCGATGATAATCAACATACATCATGAAGCAATAATTGGTCTAAAATTTATTAGAACTTGATGAAGATATGATTATTTGATTATTATATCTAATAAAAAATATATATTTATTATATAAATAATATAATCTATGATGGATATTTGAATATTTACCACATTTGCATTCGGCCATCTTGGATCTGGTGGGATAGTTTCAAGCTTGATATTTTCTCCATTTCCATTTCGATATTTTCTACCATTACCATTACTACCATTGCCACCATTTCCATTTTGCTTCTCTTCACACTCAGCCCAGGACCTTCAGAGCAGCTTGGGTACACGACACATCCTTAATATTTTTATCAGTGCTGGATTTTAATGCCATTGTCTCAATGGGTAAATCTTGGGAATAATCATCATTAGATTTAGATTTTCTTCTAGACATTTTTGACAATAAATTATCCAATATTACTTTTACAAATAATAATTTTTTGTACTAGTCTTTTGTTTTTTATAATGTGCACACTGATCAAAGTTTTTTATGTGTTTTAGACTTTCATTTATTTTAAGTATTTGATTTAAAAGATTTTATGATTCAATTGTTCACTTTCAGTGCCCTTAAATATTCATAGCTTTATTTATATAATTAGTTTCGCTATCATGAAAATACATTCATCTAATTAAATCCATTTAAATTTTAAACAATTAAATATGCTATTATGATATTATTCTTATTGAAACAGTTCCAAAGTTTGCATTAAACTGATAAGATCAGCATAACAATAAATAAATAAATAAGTTTTTTTAAACACTTTTGCATGAGCATTTCAAACAAATTTTTATGATTGCGTTCCTTATAAACAGAAAGATAGATATTTTTTTTAATTTTTATTTTAACTTGAACACATTATAAAAATTTGTATAATTGATATATAATATATTTATCTGGAATTAATTCTTGAAGGAAAAATTAAGCTAAATGCGAAAGATCATCTAGTTCAGGTGGAGGAGGAGCACTGCCTTGACCAATAAAGATTGGTTTGGGCACTACTGATGCAGGAGCCTACAACAAAAAATTCTCCATAAATATTCTTATTCTTTTTTTTTTTCAATTATGCATGTGCGCATGTACCTGGCTTACAGATGGAGAACTTTGTCCAGAGTGACTAACCATTACTAATTTTGGTGTTTTTTGGCTTGTATTTTGATTTGCCTGTTGTTGCATTTGCACTAAAGTATGTTGTTGAGTATGTTGAATGGCAGGACTTTGTTGGCTTTGTACTGTTTGTATATTTTGTGTCACTGGCTGCATTTGTTGAATCTGATTCGAAAGATTTGACCCATACTTTACTACACCTGGTGAAGGAGTGTTAGTAGGTGTCTGAGACTGAACATTTCCTGAATAAAAAGATATAAATCATTAGTAAACATAACTACAAATATTGATGATAATGCTAGTAAAAACAAAAATTTAGCTGAAAAACTAATTATAAGTAATAATCTGGTAATATTTCTTCGTTTCAACTATAACTAACATATTTCATACTTTCCTTGTTTATTCATTCAGTCTTTTTTGGATATAGGGAAGCAAATAGGCAAAGTTGCATTTCTAGGAATTGGAATTCTAGGTTTTGTAAGTATTGAGGGTGCTTGAATACAAACTGATCCAGGCATTCCAGGAAGGAGCAGAGGATTGTTGAGGGTCGGAAGTGAGATATTACCCCTGTAAACTACTGTTGAGAGATATTAATTAGGCATTTCTCTTAAATCATTTTTCAAATGTAACAATGTATGCATCGAATAGTTGTCAGTCGATACATTAAAAGCTTATTTATTAAACAAATTATTATGATATTTATTAATCTTATATAAATTGTTAATAAATATCATTCTCACCGGATGAAGGTGTTTGTGGTCTTGATTGTGCCACAATAACATATTTTTGTTGACTTTGTCCAGGTGTTCTTATTATTTGACTCGATGCAGAACCACCACTTCCAACCAACACTGATCTTGGGGTACCAGGTGCTTGGGGTGAAGCTAGATTTCCAAGATTAGATGATCCAGAAGATGGCAATGATCTAGATGATCAAAAATAATAGCTTAAAGAATCTGATTTGTTAATGTTCAAGACCCAAAACAATACAAAGCATTCAATATATGATTTTTTTTTTAAAGTATAAAGTACCTTATTCCTGATGTAGGACATGGTGTGTTAGGTATAATAGAAACACCGCTAGATCCGGTGCATGTTGGTGGTGCTACATTTGCTACAGTTACAGAAGATCTAGCTTTGTGGACAGCTGAATGCAGAGCAGGGCCTAAGTAACCATAATCATTTCTGCAAAAAAAAAAAAAAAACTATTTCTGTTAAATTCTTCTAAAAATCAGCAATAATAAGAAAATAAACAATACTTGTATTCTTCAACTATGTCTGGAGGATTTCTAATCATTTTAATAACTGGGGCAGCTGTTTTAGTTACTAATTGTTTTATCCTGTCACCAGCAATTTTGTCTGCATTGTTTTGACCACCTTGATTAGGTTGAAAGCAAGTTTCAATTTTTTCTGATATTTCTAAGATTTTTGGTATTATAAATACCTGTAAATGTAGTAAAAACAAGATTAAATATCTTATCATTCATTATGCACATTTAATATTTTTTCACATTACTTTCACAACTTCACTTCCCAGTTCTGAAAGACCTTCAATTGCACCATAAAGAGATGCCAAAGGAGTTTTATTATCCTGCAACGCTTTACAAAACAATCTTGTAACTCTTGTTTGCACAGTATTTGTAGTTGTATTGAAATTTTTGCATATTTGTGCCATAAGACGAGCTGCAAAATCTCTCAAAGCCCAATGATTGTCTAATTCAGGCCGCATACATAGTTGCTTAGAAACTATGCATGTTGAAACACATGGAATCAATTCATGAAGCTAAAAGAAACAACCGGTTAAAATATATCACTAACTTCAACCATAATTTATAATGCGAATTGTTAATATTTTTCTTCCTCAAAAAATAGAAACACCTTAAATTATGATATTAATTGAAAATGTGTAAATAGGATATTACTTTGATAGACAAAACATAATTGATCTAAAAACAACAATACTTACATATTTTTCCAGATAAAGAGCTGGATTATCTAGAAGCGCCTTAACCATTCTCATGAGATATATTAGTAATGCCAAATTGTTTTGAACAACGTTGACTTTAACACCTTCTGCAATAAATGTACACATCCTTGGAAGCATCTCATGAAGTCCAGGATCACATGCTAAAGACTAAAATATTATTTATAATTAACAATTTGAGAACTAAATAAGAATTTATTAAACAATTCTGTATTGTTACTTGTAACGCTTCAGCTCTTCGAGTTTCATCACTTCCAACACAAGCTTCAGTTATTTCCTTGTAATATAATTGCTGTTCAACAGATAATTCATGTGTTGCCAACTGTTTTACATGCACCGTTTCTACATTTCTAAGTTTTTGTAACTTTCCAGTTGTTGGCTTACCAGCCATATCTTTATCTTTTCCAGAAGCTTTAGATAATTTAGCAACTGGGTCCACAGAATCCTAAAGTAAAAAGATAGTTACACATACACCGAAATGATTCATTAAATTGGCAACTGTTGTCTAGAGAACTTATATCTGAACAGAATGATGAAATATACCAAAAATATGCTATTCGAAACAATACAGATAAAAACTTTATCTAAAATATCTAAAAGAAATTAATAGTTACCAGTTTTTGAGACTCTTTAGACTGAGGCGGAGGATTTTCAGGAATAGTTGGTTGAACTCCATCAACAGACAACCAATGTGCACGTAATGACACTTCAAGTGGTAACTTTGGTGCGGCAGCTGACAAAATATCAGATATATCTAATTCTTTTTCCTCTATGAAATGAAGCTCACGACCACCACCAGACGCAAATCTGAATGGTGTGAAGTCTTGTTGAACGAAACCATACTGGGGCTGCAAGAGAAATATTTAATTGTGATAAAAGATTAATTATGAAATGGCAAAAAAATATTAAATTAATCTTGCCTCTATATTCTTTATCCTCAATGCATGATCAACATCTGATGTACATAATTTTTGCCGTTTGGAATGATGCATGAATTTAATAGAGTCTTGTATAATTTCTTTTAACCTAAAAGATACTTCATCTGACAATTCTTTAGCTACATCATCAGCCAACGATCCTACACCTATACTTTCAGCAATAACTTTCATGGATTCAGTTGATAATGTGGTTCCGTAAGCCAACTCGGAGTCATTCATATTTATTATTTTATCAAATTATATAACTTCTATATATAATTATAACTCTTTCTTAACCAAACTATATTTACACAAGCGGGGTACTAATGTCATTTATTTATCATTTGGTGCAATAATAATATTAGTATGTAATTTTTTTTGTTACTTGATATTCGTAACACTATATTATTGTACTATATTTTTATTATATTGTCTAGGATTTTGGAATATAAACATAAACATAGCTTTTAGATTTTATATGTCAACATGAAATTAACCAGTAATAAAAAATAAACTGATCTAGTTACTACATCTAGTGATATTTCTGTAAACTTGCTGGTTTAAATACTTGATTATGAGAAACCACAAGATTAGATTCTTATTAGAGTCCATTAAAAAAGATCAAATTTTTATTAGAGTGCATATGAAAGTAAAGATACCAGACCAGTGATTCTCAAAATGTTTCTAAACGTATCACCCAAAATGTCCCAAAATACAACCGAAATGTCCTCCAAATGATAATGGGGGTTCATGATATTGTATGTCCCTAACAATATTAGTATATAATTATTCAAAGTTTGTATATAATATTTGGTGGATGTCACAGACAATGACAAACAATATAATATAATATACGATACAAAAAAGTATTGCAAATTAAAAATAAATATTCTCCTTATTTTTTTATTATATAAATATATACTCCAGCCATTATATATATTATATATATGAAGTTATATGCATGTACAGATACATACACAAGAATAATCACTAATAGAATAAAATTAGCAATCGTATATGTGGCTATAATTTTCTTGATAAACTTGAATGTATGTTTCCTTCTCCTGAGGTGTCATGGAAGCAATAATTTCATCGGTTACATCACTTAATTCTATCGTTTTACCTCCAACTGTTACTGTGGGTATGTTATCATCTGATTCTGAATCCATTGTGCCAACGTCAGCTGAAAATTACATAAAGCATAAAAAATGCCATTTATAAAAATAGTTTACGAATTATTTCAATAAAAAACAGCTTACGGATAAATGTGTTATCGATATCTTTATATTCAGATTCATCAGCACTTGAATCTGATGATTCATTGTTAACTCCAAGTCCTTTAACAGCATTCTCTGTTGCATTTCCTAAAAATATTTGAAACTTTTTAGTTGGTGATTTGTATATTCCTCTAATTTTGGAAATAATTCTACTAGATTAAAAAAAAAGATCTTCTAAATATTAGTATCTAATATATAAACGAAGCATTACTATTAATTTAAAATATATAATAAAACTTTGTGCAAATGTAGTATTGTCTTATAATTTATGTACCTGAGCCATTTCCACTTTGTTTTTCATGTTGCAACAGTACGGACATAATATCATTTTCAACCTTCTTAGCTGCTTTCGCATTATTTGTAGCAATATTCACCGGTTCTGGAGCAACTTCTGGTAGTTTTTCAGCCTAAAGAAAAGTAATGGGTTGAAATAATTGCAAACAAGAATTATATTATCTCCACATTTCAAGCCATTTTCAATATTTTCAATAAATATAAACATATGATATGAAGTTATAACTAAGAAATTATAGGTCAGTATCTTAGATAAAAGAGATAAGGTAATGGTAGTATATCCATTACTAATTATATAATAAATTTATGAATAATTAATTACATATCAATTATACCTGTGCGCTTACAACAGTACTTTCAGTCATCCATATTGGGCGATCCTTTCTAGCTGCTGTATTAGTATCTACAACATTATCTCCAATACTAATATCAACACGAGCTTCTTCAACAGCAAAACCAAGACCTCTAGTTGCTTCTCCTGACCAAGGTTCTCCTGCATTTCGGTCAGATGGGTGTGTTGAAGTTATACTGAAAATTGATTGACAATTACAATAGCAACACATATATCTGGACAATAATTTGTTGTACACAATACCCTCTAATAGTATTTATATCAACTGGCTCAGGTTCCAATATTTCAGGCGCAAGTTTCAGTCCCTCAACTTGTCTTAGTAACATATATAAGGGTTCTAATTGTTCATTGAACTTTGCCAATAGAAGTCTTGAATCTTTTTTTGGAAGTGCTGATAAATCTTCTTCAACTGCACTGTTACAAAATGTGCAGCAAAATTCTGAGGTTGCAAAGTTAAAAAGTTGATCTGCCTAAATCAAAGCCATATTAAAATACATTGAAATGAGGAGAATGATACTGAATGTGTTACCTCTAAGTCTGTGAATGTTTTGTCACAACCAAGACATTTAAAGCTAGCACGACTTGTGGCATCTCTTTCTTCAGTTTCCATTCTCTTTCTCATTAAATCTAATTTGTATTTTACAACATTCACAAATGTTTTATAATTGATAAAATAATAATTCACTTTTTGAGCTTTTCCATCAATCCCTATGTAAAAAAAAACAAAAATTAAGTACTGGTATATAAGTGAAAATAATTGTTATTCAGTGTAAAGTGCAATAAATATTACTCAACAATTCAACTTTCATATAATAATACTTTAAAAGCATAATATAAAGTCTCCAATTTATAGAATGATATCAGAAAGCATTAAAATTACAAAATTCACAAAATTTAAATTCATATGATATTCAAAAAACGCTGTTCTATGGCCAACAAGCTTAATTCACATGCATAATAATAAATTAGAATAGAACCTGTTTCCATTTTTAACCGAACTTGTATAAATTTGTCTGATTTTAGAGTGGCGATACGAGCTCTTAACATTTTTCTTTCAAACTTGAGTAATTCACATATGTCATCTTCTTTCATACCTAACAGATTAATAAGTCAGTTAATTATGTAAATAAAATATTGATTATAGTTTAATTTATTACTTAATTATGGTACTAACAGGGATTTCGCACAAGCATATCAATTATAAGGGCATCTTCAATACTGTAAAACCCGCGTACTACCAGTCTTGCCAACTGCTTTAGGCTGCTTGGTACTTCAGTAACATAACGTTCCTCTGACATATTTATATTTATATATGTGTCAATAAAAAATAAATTCTATACAAGTTTTAACATATCAGACCTTGCCCTGAAAATAAAATTGTGTTAATGGTGAAAAAATCGTTCTGAAGATGTATATGATGCATTAGATTACTTCTAAAACTTTATCACAATAATAGTAATTAAACTCACAAATACTTTAATTATTTCATGCCAATGGCTGCAATTAATAAAGTCAAAGTAATTGTAGCTGGAGATTCAGGTGAGTAAAAAATATTCATTATAAAAACGGTCTTTATATTTACAAGCACTTTAAAATAAACTCAACCAATGACACAAATTACATAGTACCAACTGCAAAGTGAACGTTATATTTGAATGCTATCAATGTAGACCTATTCTTTTACTGATCTTTAATAATTAAATTTGAAACTGAATTTGAAAATAACACTACGAACTGATGACTTTTTAATTTATTGTGTATATATTGCTTTGTCATACATTCCCCTATTTTTTTTTTGTTAATTTCTTTATGAATCATTTAATTGCATAATGCAAGATGAAACAGTCGCAAATTCAAAATGCTTGGTATTTTTTATGAGTAATAGCAATAATATACTAAAGAAACTGGAAAATATTATGTAGATAAAATGAAATGAACAGTTATATAACTATTATAAATTTTACATATATAGGCACATAGTACAGAGATTTTAATCATATATAAAAATAGAGTTTGTTTATAGGTGTGGGTAAATCATCTTTAACTCATTTGATAACTCAAGGTGAGCCTTTGATCTCACCTGGCTGGACCATTGGATGCTCTCTAGAAGTGAAACTACATGAATACAAAGAGGGTACACAAGCCCAAAGCACATTTTTTGTAGAGTTATGGGATATAGGCGGATCAATAAGTCATAAAAATACAAGAGATGTATTCTATCAACCAACTCATGGTTTGTACAATTAATAATATGTACCACCTTTACAAAAACATTTTTTAACTTCCAATTAGAAAAGTTTGCCTTTTACCAGAGTAGATAATAGTATGTGCTGGTGTCTATTTGAATGTAAATTTGGCTCTTGGCATGTTCTCCAAAATGGGTTCATCAATTTCAAGATTTTATATTGCTATAATTATCATTCTTTTTAATTAAAGTTCCATTTATAAAAGTTGTGTATGTCTTCTACTTCAGGTATCATACTTGTGCACGATCTTACTAACCGAAAAAGTGAACAAAATCTACAGAAGTGGTTGTCTGAAATTTTAAACAAGGAAGCTAATTTAGGGAAAAGTGCATCAGAAGACTATGATCCAGAACAATTCATCGGTTCAAATCAGGTACATTTATTGCTTATAACATATTTTGAATACATGACAATCATTTTATATTCATATGCATTCAAGATCCCAATTTTTGTTGTCGGGACTAAGTTAGATCTAGCAGAAGAAAAACATAAGGCTAAAATAAAATCAATCAGTAATATAGGTATGTATCATTCAAAATGTTATTACAATTTTAAATCTATAAATGAATGCATGAAACAATTATTTTGAAAGCTTATGGCATTTGTATTTATATTATTATTATTATTACAAATGAGCATGAATCAAATTCATGAACATACTTGCATAAAAATATATAAATTGAATTGAATTATTAATGAAGTTGGCAGTGACTTTTCATATTATCATAGTAACATATTATCAAAATGATTTGTTTTTATATTAATTGATTTATTTTCTCTGAAACTACTCTACAGCGGATCAATGTGGGGCTGATGAGATTCATGTCAATTGTCATCAAAGTAAAAGTTTGGCAGCTGGTTCTACTACAGCCGTTAAATTAAGCAGATTTTTTGATAAAGTTATAGAACGTCGTTATTACAGCCGTGATGCTATCAACAGAAAAAAAATGTTTGCAGTGACACCAATTGTCGATCGAACAGCTGGAGCTTATTCTCCAATAACAATGGAACAAGGTTATCACAATCCTTTAACACCAAAATTTTATCATATGGAATAAGGATCTAATAAAATCATAATTTAATATATGTAGGTACATACATGCAAATATTTATATATAAACATATAATTGAATATATATTTATATATTATATAGAGATGTTATATTAAAATAAGATGAATCTAACAAGGCCTTTCCATTTTTTTCCACCAAGTATATTTATAATGATATTTTTGTATTTCAATACCTCCTCTTGGAATAGGAACCATAGATTTTCCTAGCATTCCATGAGATAAAGGGGGTTCCACCAAATATGCTGGAAAACAATCTAAAGATTCCCACTCACAATTTGGTGGAAGTATCAAATGTTTCCAGCCTGTGCGATGTAGCATATTTACCTACAACAAAATTAAGTTATTTATTAAACATTAAGCATAGTTTGATGTTCTGATCATGTACCTTCTTGCTATCTTTGAAAATAAATATTTCCAATATCGCTCCAGGTTTTAAAGTATCTGATATTATAAACTTGCCTAGAAAATTTGTAAAGTGGTTAGGAAATATTGTTTTTTATATTTAATAAAAGCTAATAAATTATAATTATTTGAAATTGAAATAAATTGTATGATATATCAAAATTATACAGCAATTATTTTGGACTCAAAATTCTTTGATATTTATATACATTATTGTAAATCTTCATATGGAATACATAAATTCATAAGAAGTAAATGAAACTATAAAAAATATAGTTTATATAAAATATTAATAACAATAAAATTATCAATGAATAGAATAGAATTCAAAATAAATGAAAAGAGAATCAATGCAAACAGAATACAGGTCAATTGTAGAATGAATTAATATTGCTATTGATTAATGGAAATAAAATTGCAAGCAAAAAATACCTTCCGCTGAGCTGTATTGGACATGCAAATTTGATTTTTCAAAGATCATCAGTACAGTATCATTTATTTTTTCGTTTACTTCTAATTTGAGACATATTTCAGCTTTCTCTGCCCAAGGAAATAAATTTGAATGTTGTATTTGCCCCCAAAGAGTTTTATAGCATAGAAAATGTATAATATTTAAATGATCCAATATTTCATGTACTCTGAAATAGTAAGAATTAATCATGTATATTAATAACAAAATATATTGACATTTTATTACCTTGAAACTAATGAGTTCAAACTATTAATGAATGCTTCACTTTGTAAGCACTGTTTTTTACGATTATCATTGTAAAAACATCTGTATATTAAAATGATAAATAAAACCACAAATAAACATAAAACTGCATGTTTAAAGTATAATCGCATGTTACTTTTATGTATAAATAAATTTTTATGAATTCACTTCAGTTTATAAAGTAATATTGCATTTATAAAGGTAATCCATAGTTATTCAAACATGCTGGCATTTTAAAAGCACGATTAGTTACTTCATTATTATTTTTACCCTTATTTAAATTTCGTTTCTTAATAACACTTGACACATTGTGCAACAATAACAATAATGACAGCCAAACTGTCAAAGCGTAACTACCATAGACAGCCAGTAATAACTTTTAATAGATTGAGTGATTTCAAGACATTCCATAGTGACTTCTTTATAAAGATTGGACATTATGTTCGGATCTATACTAGCGCCGCCAGCGGAATTATTATGAACTTGTCTAGTTGCGTACAATACATGAATTTAAATAAATAAATTGTATGAAAATTTATATAATTTATCACGTTTTGGAGATAAAAAATGTCCCTATTGACTCATTTCAAAATATTAATTAATATTTAAGAAATATACTAGAAATAGTCTATTGGAGATAGTTTTTCATTAAGATCGAATACTCAAAATCAATATTAACCTGTTGCATATTTTAAAATAATAGCGCATCATTAGTTTACTAGCTTTTTTGTTCGTTTTTTTTTTCATTTATTACTTTTCAGTGTTATTGATTATTTAGAATTGAATAGTTCGTATTTATAATAATATTTTTTCGATTGCATTTTTAGTCCTCTTGGGCTACCCTGTGGACTTTAAAATAATAAGATGAAAAATAAATAATTGATGCTGCAATTTGGTTCATACATAATTTTGTTTAGTATTACATTAGATAGATCTAGTTGTGCAATGAATAAAGTTGTTCTTATTCTTCTTTATCAAATAAAAGCGGATGAAAACAATTTCAACTCTGCTTTCAACAATTTCAACAAGCTTTTTTGTTCGTTTTTTTTTCATTTATTACTTTTCAGTGTTATTGATTATTTAGAATTGAATAGTTCGTATTTATAATAATATTTTTTCGATTGCATTTTTAAGTCCTCTTGGGGCTACCCTGTGGACTTTAAAATAATAAGATGAAAAATAAATAATTGATGCTGCAATTTGGTTCATACATAATTTTGTTTAGTATTACATTAGATAGATCTAGTTGTGCAATGAATAAAGTTGTTCTTATTCTTCTTTATCAAATAAAAGCGGATGAAAACAATTTCAACTCTGTACTGAGCGGTTGCTTATTGAATAATTTCACAAAAAATAACGATATTACATATTTATTTAAAATACATATTGCCATAAAGTAAACATTTTATGCCGTTCTAACAATTTTAATAGCATGAGCGTATGACTATAATCAATAAAGTAATATTATCTTCTAGGAATAAATCACAATAAATCAATCAAACAATTTAAAAAGTTAAACATAAATAGAAATTATTTATAAGCGTATTTAATTTCGATTTAATTTTCTGCAATTTAATGAATATATTGAGTTCTTCAAAATATACAAATTAAGTAATTAAGTCCATTCATGATGACAAGTAATAAGGCCCCCAATATTCATTAAAGTTATCGTGCCTAATTTATAACCACTAAACCATAATAAATGATATTTTCAAATTACTATCGTGATTATTTGCATATTATATGAAATTACAATAGCACAAATTTTATTACATTTTGATGTTTTGTTAAATCAATTTACGGTATTGAAATTCTCATGCCTTTGATATTATTATTACAAAAATAAATTAAATTTTATGACAGATTAAAATGATTTACTAAATGATTTTAAATAGCAAGAATTGGTGCGATATCTTATTAATATCTAGTACATTTATCTTTATATTGTAGGAGTTGATATACAGCACTTGGTGATATTTTTATTATTTATTATAATATAGTTTAATTCTTAGATTCAAAGATATGTTAACAATATATTGTTAATATGATGCCAACATACCTATTAATATGAAGTACAATCATCAAATCATTATACAATCAATATGGTAAAAGATTCAGATGAAAATTTTTTCAATGATATTAATTTAAGAATTAATTCAAGAAATAAGCGAGGTCTTGGCTTTCAATTTGCAATTTATTGAAAGGTAAGACAATTATATATAATATTAACAATTTATTTTACTATAGATTTTAAAACCGTTCTCACACGAATTAACCAAATCAAAAAGGCCAATATAAAAGTATGTGACAATTGCCAGGATTTAAGGCAATATACAACATTACTTTGTAATGTAAGTATATTTTAAAGAAGAAAAATGTATTATGAATATACCAGATCAACATTAAATAATAATTTAAAACATATTTTGTATTCCACTTCTTAACTAATAAATGTTATATTTTTTTATAAGATCAAACAAATACCAAAGTATTTTATGGATAATGATGTACTTCAGGTGCGTAGAACAAACCCTATAAGCGCGTAATTTTATTTTATTTTGCTAATAAATTATAAAAGCGTTAAATTTAGTATATATAAAAAAAAAATATTTCAATACTGCCGACGTGGTTTGAATTTTCTTATTCATATGTATCAATTTTGTAATATAATTAAATTAATTTGGTATTATAAACGATCACACAGTTGCCAAATGCTGTTGAAACTTAATATTAATCTTAATAAAATTAATCCTAAAATTAAGTAATAAAAATATGCATAATATTATTCCTAATAATCATTTTTATGTTTTTTTACTTAATTAAATGCCTTATGCCAACTAGTGTGAGAGCGGGTTAAGTGATATGGGGAACATGTACATGTAAGATTTTATTTCTAATTTCATACACTTTCTATCCAATATATTTGTTTTCATATTTCCATTTTTCTACAAAATAATATCATTTATAAACCGGTGATTCACTCTAATATAAACATTAGATCTCTACAACAACACATATAGGGCTTTATATCCAACAACATTTATCGTTAAATACAAAATGGCAGATTTTATGTTATCATGCATAATAATAATTATTAATATTTGCAAAATTCAGAATTTTGCTTCATCTAAGTTCAAATTATTCATCCATAGGACGTACGATAAGTCATCCGTTACAATTTTGAATGACTTAAATATTGAATTAAATTCGAAATTTTTTCATAAATATGTAACGTAAGTAAAATAAATTTGTAACTTAAGTAAAAATATTCCATAAGTAAGGTGAAATATACAATTTATTTTTTCGATAATTGAATAAAAAATGAAAACAGAAGAATTTAAGTGTTAATAAATTGTTCACAACGTTTTCAAATTTATTCGCTTATTACTACATTTTATTTACTAAAGTAATTTTTTTACCGATATTTCAAAGGTTTTAATTGCTAAATGATTCACAATTAATGATTTTTTAAACAAAATTTTATATGTAATAAATGCCGAATTATATTTGAATTTTTATTAAATAAAACTAATCCCGTATTTAGTAACACACTGGTTAACACACTTAAAATTAATCCAAGCATATATTATCTATACTATATTACTATATTTTATTTTATTATATTTGTGCTATTGTTTTATTTATTACATTTATTTACTGACTTAATTTATTGGTTTGTTAATATCATTTTCAAAAATAGTCTGTCAGAATTATTATTACTATTGTTCTATTTTTTCGCGATTTTCTTGCCTGTAAAACGCAGATATATTTGTGGAATCAGCTCAAGCTCATTTGCTCATCTTATTTATCGTGTTTGTAAGCTAAGTTGTATAAAAAATCTGCTTAAAAGAAGTTAATTTATAATTACAAGGAATACAAAGAAATTTATCACAAACTGCCTTTTAGGACCACAAAATTAATTTACCAGAAATAAATATCTGTGTTGTGTTTCTGGTAATAATATCAATTGATGCTATTAATTGTGACTTTGAAAAAATATCAAATTCAGAGATATTAAATTATATTTGATATCATTTTTGGATATTAAATAATGCATCTCTTTATCATGCTACAAGTTGTTAAAATAGTAATTTGATCAAATAGTAATTTATACAAATTAAATACCTTCATTCATTTCGTAAAATGTGTAATAAATTAATCATTTAAGCAATTGCTTTTGGCAGGAATATTTTTATCTCAATTTCACAATTTTATTGCAAGAAGATTTGTTTTAAAGATATAAGATAAAAATCGATATTTTTTCTGTCTACATCGGAAACATTACTCTGTAATAAATCATATTGCGATTTTTATAACTTCAACTAAAAAAGCTAATAATTGTCAAAGAATTTTCTTGTTAACCATCTTAAATGACTTGTACTGATACCATCTTTTTTATTTTGGTCATATACTTAGATAATGTATAATATTAGAGAAGTTTACGATATTGATGAAAAATACTGAATAATTTTTGGCAATTTAATTAACAAATTTTATCACAAAAGTAATAACTTTCATAGGCAATGAGTCTGTGTAACTAAATACTATATATGAAATAAATATAATAATCATATTTATATGAAATAAAACTAGCGACTTTCCTAGTTGGTTCTAGCAGCTTTCCAAGTACTTATAAAGAATATTACAATATTCAATAAATTTAGCTAATCAGACTTTTTAATGAAAATAGTTCAAATGATATTAATATTTATTATTATTGTCGTTTAAATTAAAAATAAAAGGTACAACATCTATTATCAAAATGCCAAAAATTAATCAGTATTTTTTTATCCAAATTATTTTACTAAATTCGTATTAAAACAAGAATTCTATACCATATACTAGGTCAGGAAAGCGCAGTCGACGCAAAACGACGGGCTTCCATCACAGCCATCCAGATGGTTGGTTGTGTCCATTAAGAGGAATGATACCGGGTAAATGGGGCAGTATCCTGGGTTGACCATTTCGATGGTTCTTTGCTGACGATACCAAAGGCAAGTTAGAGTCTTCAGATTCAGCCAAACCTGGAGTTTTGAGCAGAGGCTCACGAGAGCTTCCTTGAGCACTGCTGCTAGCCGCCACGCTTTCCTCGGTTGTTGATGGCGTTAGAGGAACACCAGATGCTAAAAAA